TGCTTAGACTTATACAGCCCTCTCTAAGCAGTTTACAGAGTCAGCCTCTTGCCCCCCAACAATCTGGCTCCTCATTTTACCAACCTCGGAAGGATGGAAGGCTGAGTCAACCTCCAGCCGGTCAGGATCGAACTGCTGGCAGTGGGCAGAGACAGCCTGCAATACTGCCTTCAACCACTGCGCCACCACAACTCCCTCCTCCCTCAATTCCTGCACCCAATGCTATTGAACCGGATAATATGACGGAAGACTCCTATTTAGTGGCAGATCTCTGTTCAGTTCATCAGTATTCCAAGAAAGCCACAACAGCTGATTTAAGCAAAAGATCTATTTGTTATGCAAAACAGCAGCACTAAACAGCAAGCTGGCTTGTTTTTAAATAAGGTTTTCTACCTAAATAAGGTTTTCTACATAATACCAAGCGCTGATTTCAATGAGGCTAAAAGCACCGATTATGTAGAGTTTTCCAACAACGAAGCATGAAGCTTACATGTATGGCGCATACCAGCGCGCACATACCTATACAGGTAGTCCTCGGCTTACGGCCACAATTGAGTCCAACACATCTGTTGCTAGGTGAGACATTTGTTCAGTGCGTTTTGTTCCATTTTACGCCCTTGCTTGCTTCACTCTTGTTAAGCGGATCGTCACAATGGTTAGGTTAGCCACTTGATTGTTAAGCAAATCTGGCTTCCCCCGTTGACTTTGCAGGTCAGAAAGTCACAAAAGGGGAATCACACGACCCCGAGCCAACTGTCTCACTTAGCAACAGACATGTTGAGCTCAACTGTGGTCATAGGTTGAGGATATTCTCAAAGAATATAGATCATCGTTAGCTTCCTATTGATCCAAACTAACTGTTAAGGTTCTCCTCCAAGGAGTTTCAATGAATTGATTGAGAAATTAGTGAAATTTCTCCAAGTTTCTCAGAGAAAATGACTTTAAGAATTTCTGAAAGGTTAGTGTTGCTTCCTAACAGCAACAAGCCAGGTAGTCCTCGATTTATGACCATAATTGAACTCCGTTATTAAGCAGGTCATCCTGTGACTGACACATTTTTTTCATTTTGGGAGGGGGGGGCAGTGTTAAGCAAATCATCACCGTCTTTCAAAGACTTACCATAGTTAGTATCTTCTTGGTCGTTAAGCGAACACTGCAGTCATTAAGGGAACCGATTGTCCCCAGGGGGGGCATTTTTGCCAGAAACTGGAAGTCATCACCAGTTTACAGCAAAAAAAATATGTAAATTTGGATCACATGACCGCCGGACAGGCAGCTGTTTTAATCCTGGTAAAGCCATATGTACATTTTGAAGGGAGTCTGTTCAGTGGTGGGATTCAAAAAATTTTTTACTACCTGTTCTGTGGGTGTGGCAGGGGAAGGATACTGTAAAATCTCCAGTCAGAGGTGGGATTTTGCTGGTTGTCTGAACTACTCAAAATTTCTGCTACCGGTTCTCCAGAACTGGTCAGAACCTGCTGAATGCCACCTTTGAGTCTGTTGTAACTTTAAATAGTCACTAAGAGATTGGTCATAAGTCGAGGACTACCTGTAAGTGTGGCTGGGTAATTGTATGCAAGTGCGGGATCCTCAACCACAGATTGCCAAAGAATCTGGAACGACTAAGAACTGAAGTTGAGCGATAACTGGAAGGAAAAAAAAGGACACCTATAGACTGGGCGAAACCAGGCTTAATAGCGGTAACTGTGAGAGGGATCTTGGAGTCTTAGTGGACAACCAGCTAAATATGAGCCAGCAGTGTGCAGCAGCAGCCAAAAAAGCCAATGCAATCCTAAGATGCATTAACAGAGGGATACAGTCAAGATCAAGGGAAGTACTAACACCACTCTATAAAGCCCTAGTAAGATCACACCTAGAGTACTGCATCCAGTTTTTGGTCACCACACTATAAAAAAGATGTTGAGACTCTAGAAAAAAAAGTGCAGAGAAGAGCAACCAGGATGATGAGGGGACTGGAGACTAAAACATACGAAGAACGGTTGCAGGAATGGAGTATGTCTAGTCTAGTGAAGGACCAGGGGAGACAGGAGAGCAGTCTTCCAATATTTGAGGGGCAGCCACAGAGAGGAGTGGGGTCAACCTGCTTCCCAAAGCACCTGAAGGCCAGACAAGGAATAATGGATGGAAACTGAACAAGGAGAGATTCAACCTGGAAATAAGGAGAAATTTTCTGACAGTGAAAACAATCAAGCCATGGAGAAGAAGTTGCCTTCAGAAGTTGTGGGAGCTTCATCACTTGAGACTTTCAAGAAGAGATTGGACTGCCATTTGTCAGAAATGGTGTAGGGTCTCCTGCTTGGAGGGGGGGGCTGGACTAGATGACCTTCAAGGACCCTTCCAACGTTCGGTGCTCCCAAGCCTATTTACAAAGAATTCCCCAGACTCTTACCTCTGCATTTGCGGGAACCATCCGCGTAATAGCCAGGGGGACATTCTGACAGGCAGTTGCCATCCAGCAGAACTCGGCCTGAAGCACAGGACAAGCATCTCAGCCGGTCCACGTAACACCTGTCACAACCTTCAGAGCAAGCTGGCAGAGAGGAGAATCCGATTAGACCCAGGTAGCCTTTGGCTGAAGAGTGGTTCGTTTAGGGACCGTTCCGAGTTACAACGGCACTGAAAACAAGGACTTATGGCTGTCTTTCACTCTGATGACCATCGCAGCTTCCCCACGGTCATGGGAATCAAAATTCGGACGCTTAGCAACTGGTTCATATTTATGACGGTTGTAGAGAGAGTCAATAGGGAAGACAGATTCACTTAACAAGCATGTTACTGATTTAACAACTGCAACGGTTCACTTAATTGCCACATGAAAGGACGTAAAATGGGGCAAAACTCGCTTAACTCCTGATCTCGCTTAACGACACAAATATTGGGCACAATTGTGGTCGTAACTCAAGGACTACCTCTAATTAGGGCCCAGCTCTGGAGCTTACTAGGTCTAGCCAAATCCCAGTGAGATTTAAATCCAATTTCCTTTTTAACCACTTGTTTCGCAGAGTTTAAATGTCTATGCCTGGAAATGTAGGCCTATGCCTCAGTAGTGGAATACAAACTACTACCAGTTCTGTGGGCGTGGCTTGTGGGCATGGCTTGGTGGGCGTGGCAGGGGAAGGATACTGTAAAATCCCCATTCTCTCTCCACTCCTGGGGAAGATTACTGCAAAATCTCCATTCCTTCCTCACCACACTAACCTGCTTTCCAGCTCCGTTCTCCTGTACAAGGCAACAAAAGAAGACCCAGCCAATCAGCTGGGACTCGGGAGGCAGAGAAGAGATGGGGGCGGGGCCAGTCAGAGGTGGTATTTGACGGTTCTTGCAACGACTCAAAATTTCCGCTAACGGTTCTCCAGAACTGGTCAGAACCTGCTGAATACTCCCTCTGCCATACCGGGTCATGGGATCCAAATGTAGACCGTTGGAAACCTGACTCCTGTTTATGACGGTCACTGGGGGTGGTGTCATGCAATCCCCTTTTTGCGACCTTCCAATGAGAGAAGTCGTGGGGGGAGCAGATTAACTGAACGACCGTGTCGCGAACCGAACAACTGCAGCGAATGCGCTTAAGGAGGTCATAAAATGGGACAACACTGTCTCGCTCAGCAACAGACCTTTTGGGCTCGCTTGGGATCGTAACCTGATGACTTTACCTGTCCTAGGTAACGGTAAAATACCTGGGGGAGAAAAATTCATTGATCCTTTCGAAAGACAAAGACGAGATAGAATATTATAAAGTATGGGATAAATTCTAGCAATGGTGGGGAAAGAAGAAGGACCTAAAACCTAAAAGAGAATAAGGATGGCAGAACGGATGACCAAAATTGGGAAATATCACAGAAATGTGTATCTGTATAAACGTATTTAAAATATGTATCTTATGCCATAATATGTACGACAACCAGGATCGTCGGGATGGTTACACCACGTCCAATGTTTTTAACAACCGACTTAATAAAGTTTTGTAACGTACAAGATAAATAAATAAATAAAAAGTCATTTATCCTTTTATTGATGCTTTATGAGGGTGACTCTCCTCCCTCCTCTCAATGGTCCCATCTCTATTAAAATTCCCCGAGAGGGCTTGAAAAAGGAGTGGTGTTTTAACACCAAATATTTATTGCCAGCAGGTCTGCTGATAAACCCACCCTTAACTCCGGATAATATTGTGTTTACCGTCTGGTTACACAAACTTTCCCCTCAGAAGAATGAATTTAAAGGAATGCCTTACAGCCCTGAGGCAAACAGAGAAGTGGGTGAGTCTGTTGTGAAAAGATTGGAGGCGCTATGAAAATCTCTTCCCCCAAAAAAGGAGTGGCTTTCATACATTTTGTGTGTTTGTTGCTTTCTCTCTCCCACACACTCACCTGGCACACCTACAGGTAGTCCTTGCCTTACAACGGTTCGTTGGGTGGGCCCTGAACATGTGACATATTGTGACCGTTTTTCACACTTGCGACCTTTGCAGCATCCCGATGGGACACGTGGTCAAAATTCAGATGATTGGCAACTTGTTCATAGTTACGACCGTCGCTGTGTCCCGGGGTCATGTTTTGCGACCTTCTGATGAGCAAAGTCGACGGGGAAGCCTGATTCACTGAACAACTGAATTACTAATTATCTGAAGTGATTCACTTAACAACTGTGGCAAAAAAGGCTGTAAAATGGGGCGACACACACTTAACAATGGTCTCGCTTAGGAAATTTGGGGCTCAACTGTGGTCGTAAGTCGAGGACTACCTGTATATATAAAATGTCTTCCGTCTGGACCTTGTAAGTGAGCACTTATACAGGTCCTTGACTTACGACAGGTTGCTTAGAGACTGTTCAAAGTTACGACCTAACTTGAAACAAGGGGACTTGTAATTTTTAATATGAGTTAAAGGAGAGTAAACTGAATGATGTATAAGACAATAGGGTGGTGCATTCAGACGGGTAATTAAGGGGGAAATGTTTGGAATTATTAAAACTAAGATGGAATTTATTGAATAATGAAATAAGAATGTGTGATGAAACTGCAAATATGACAGATAAAAGTATAAAAGTATAATGAATACAGATTAAGAAATAAGAGGTTTAAGATATATAAAGTAGATAAGAATATAATTAAAGAAAGACAGAATAAGTTAAGATATGAACTAAAAATAAGAATATTTGGGAAAATTTACAGAAAATGGGAAATGTAATGATACGATAAGAAACTAGACATGTAAGATAGATATGTAATTATGGTCATGTTTGTATGGAAATGTAAAAACCTGGAATCACACTGTTCACCAAAATAGATGTTTGTAAAAGATAAAAATAAAGAACTTTTTGGAAAAAAGAAAAAAGAAACAAGGGGACTTATGACCCAGGATCCGGATCTCACTTAAGAGCAGGGCTCAATTGCGGACTTTCAAGAAGAGATTGGACTGCCATTTGTCAGAAATGGTGTAGGGTCTCCCGCTTGGGCGGGGGGTTGGACTAGATGACCTACAAGGTCCCTTCCAACTCTGATTATCTGTATCTATCTGTATCGTAAGTCGAGGACGACCCTGTACTCTCACCAGCAATGGAGGGGAGGAAGCTTACACACACGCGCGCGCACACACACACACACACATCATATGGGGTAAACAGCTGCATGGATCTCAACAGCTGTCCTTGCTAAAAAAAAAAAGTGGATTAAAAACACAGCACGGTGGGCTGGCTGTTACCTCTGCAAACTCCCTCCGTAACGTAGAACCGCTGCCCGCAATTAGCCATGCATGTGCCTTCCAGGAACACGAGAGATGGGTCTCGGCAGGTGGAACAGTTGTTTGCCGTTGGACCTCGGCACGTTGCACAGGATTCGTGACAAGCTGGAGGCAAAGGAAAACATTTCCAAGTCAATTAGAGCAGCTCCTTTGCTGTACTCAGCAGGCACCCATTCTTCTTAATGCTCAAAAGAAGACCACCCAGCTACATTGAGGGGGAGAGGAGAGGAAATCAAGGAGAAGGGAGTTTCAGATCTGGAAAAGGGATCATGAAAAGAAGGAGTAGGTAGGGGGGTGACAGGAGAGCAGTGTTCCAGCATCTCAGGGGCTGCCCCAAAGAAGAAGGAGCCAAGCTATTCTCCAAAGCACCTGAGGGCAGGACAAGAAGTAACAGGTGGAAACTAATCAAGGAGAGAAGCAACCTCTAGAACTAAGGAGAAATTTCATGACGGTGAGATTAATTCATCCGTGGAACAACTTGCCTCCAGAAATTGCGAATGCTCCAGCACTGGAAGTTTTTAAGAAGAGATTGGATAGCCATTTGTCTGAAATGGGATAGAGATTCCTGCCTAAGCAGTTGGACAAGAAGATGGGTGGGGGAATTGTGGGGGTGGTACTGGTTCTTTTTATTGGGGTTTTATTTCTATAAGCTGCCTGGAGTCACCATGAGTGAGATGGGTGATGGAAGGAACCGAGGGAGGGAGGGAGGGAGAGGGAGGGAGGGAGAAGGAAGGAAAGAAGGAAGAAGGGTGGGAGGGAGGGAGGGGGAAGGAAGGGTAGGGAGGAAGGAAAACCACAACTGTGCTTACAATCCTACAGCTTTGCTCTGCTTTACAGGCTTGCAAAAGTTGTAAACCCAGGCTATTAAAAAACGACTTTCTTATCATCATCGTAATTGCACAGACTGTCACTAAGCAAGTCAGTTGCTAAATGAGGCCAAGCTATTAGCTCCACGGAAATGGTGCTGTTAAATAAATTAGTTTTGCATCGTGGGAGGGAGGGAGGAAGGAGGAGGAGGAGGAAAGGGGGAGAGACAGAAAGATAAAAGGAAGGAAGGAAGGAAGGAAGGAAGGAAGGAAGGAAGGAAGGAAGGAAGGAAGGAAGGAAGGAAGGAAGGAAGGAAGGAAAGAGAAATGAAGGAAGGAAAGAGAAAGGAAGGAAGGAAGGAAGGAAGGAAGGAAG